TAAGTTAGGCTCACTTAAACTCATTAAAGGGGGTAAAAATTGTTTGGACAGCAGCTACACTAGTGGTTTAAGTAACCTAGGCACTTAGGAAAGTTATAGGGTGGAGGACATCACCTAAACACTTAAGAAACTAACCTAACATTTACTAAATGTGTGCAGAAATGATGTGGACAGCAAGCATAACAGTAATTAAAACTAGGTTAAATGATGATATGCATGTAACAATACATAAGAATGGTTAGGTAAGCTCCTAGGATGACTTCTAGCACATGTAACGCATGCTAGCCATGTTCTGATACTAAGATGATGTGAAATCAAACATGCAAGGATGATTAGATTAAGGAATTTGTACGCTTAATATTTAGAGCACAATAATTATATCTTTATAGTGATTTCGAACGACAACATAAAACACAAAGGGCGGTGACATAAGCTTAGAAGCTAAATCACATGTATAGGAGTTAAACTCGTTAAACAATCAATTAGTCTAACATTGTATACATGGAAAGTTTCAACAAGAAATCCCTAGACTAACAATGAGGTTAATACTATGAAGAATCCCTCACACGACTCTATAATTTACTAGGCTTTAGCAGAGGACTAACCATAGCTGTCAATGGCTCAAAATAGCGCGCGCCATGGCGCACGGCGCGGCGCGGCGCACCTACGGCGCCATGTTCATGGTGAGGCGCATGTGTTTAAAATAGCGCGCGCTATTTGCGCCACATGTGAGCCATGGCGCATTGCGCACGGCGCAAAATAGCGCGCCATATTGTTTTTAAATTTCTGTATACTTATAAATATTTTTTTTATTTAAAAATATATCTATATTTTAAGATAAACGACTATTCATTGTCCTAATTTCACGAAAGATTTTCTGTTTGCTGCATCTACCGAACACATCCCGCAGTCCCTAAGTCGAGGTCGCTGAATCTATCCAGAAGTCGAAGATTTTCTATTTGCTGCATTCGCTTCTTCCGCCGAATCGTCCCGCAGAGCAGTCCTTCTGCCCAAATCCGCCCCCTCCGTCTGTTCCAATAAAAAATCTTACCAGCTGACTCTGATTTGCAACCTCCGTCTGTTCCGCACAGCTCTGTTGTTTTGCACGGCTATTTCTTACAAGAATTTAGAACTTAACAGGTATGCT